GTTCGCAAGGAGGGGATTAGGGCCAGATGCCCCCTTGGCTTGTATTTGATCAATTATCATAAACATTATTAAAGCTGGGATTTTAATGCCCTAAAAAATTCCAAAAATGCATTGAAAATACTGAATAATACACTTAATTATTTTTATTTTTTAATAGATCGATATAAATACCAATACAAATTTGGTATAAATGATAATATACATTTTAGACTATTAAATGATTGTAAAAAAGTTTAGATTTAGTTTGTTAAATTTATATAAATATCGTGTAAAAGCATGTACTAATTTTAAAATAAAATTTCAAACTGCCCCAAAAAATGTTTTCGCTGTGGCAAAAAGTTGAAAATTTAATATTTCAGATTATTTCAATGAAAGTATTATGTTGCATTTATTGTAAATAATTTTTACCAAAAAAAATTGTTTTTTTTTTCATTAGTAAAGGAGCTTAAATTGAAATGGAAGAACATACGAGATACCTACCGAAAGAAGTGTATAAAAAAATCTGGACAGGCTGCAAAAAATGAAAAACCTTATATTTATGCAAATATTTTACAGTTTTTAAGACCTACGATGGAAAACAGAAGGTAATAAAAAACATTTATATCTTATCATATAAAAATAATTAACTGTTTGAAAAAAATAAGAAGTATAATATATTAATATATAACTATTATTTCAATAGGACTGAAAGTAATGTTCCCGAGAGTGAAACAGAAGAAGATACCGAAGTTGAATCGGAAGTACTAAAAAATGTGGATAATCCTGATATCAGTATAATCGACTCGGAAGTAGAGACACCAAAATCCCAAAAACGAAAGTTATTCAAAAACCAAAAATTTCTTTTGAAGATAATTAGATAACTTATTAAAGTTGTTGGAAGCTAGAAAAGTTGAAGATCCAGTATTTTCTTTTCTTATGTCGTTGGCGCCACAAATCAAATTGTTAAATCAAGAAAAACAAAATCAAATTTTTATTGAATTCTTGCATGTCGTACAAAAAGTTTCTTCCACAAGTCCTAGCCAAAATACACACATTTCTCCGGCAGTAAATAATGTTAACTCCTGGTCCATACAACCTCCTATCTCAACTTTCTATGACCCTTCTTATGACACATATTCGACTGCAATCGTCCTAATCATGTCAACATAACACCGCCTTCATCCTCATCAACTTCATTAGGACTAGGTGCTTACCAATCGGCATCAGCTGCTGCCATGCCTCAGTACTATAATCCAAATTCAACTCAAACAGCAACTGCTCCTGTTTCTCCATCGACAACACTCTTCACTTATTCAAGCCTGAATACTGACGAATACGAAAACAGTAAATAGAATGTAAACTTCTGTATGTTTTTTTTTTTATATTTGAATCGTTTATAAGCCTTTAAACTTTATTTTTTTTATTACAGCACTAAAGTTGAGTTGACTTTTTATTCTTTTTGTAAATATTTATTATAATATTTATTTACCGCAAAGTGATTGTCAGTCGTTCTTCTGTACAAATTGGAATGCGCAAATGTGTCACTTGTTTTGATAGACATTGTCTAACCAGTGAAATCTTAAAAAATTTAAATTATTACATATTTTATCCGATTTATTGTAATCCAAACGTAAAAATATTAACATATTATAGTATTATATTATCTGTTTAGTGCCACAACTACAATTTTGAAGCCCAGGTGCGAGCTAATTTTAGGGCCCCTTTATCGTCAGTAGTGTCTAAATTTTGGGTCGATGATTAATTAATGAGCTAAGATTAGATGTGGGGGGGGGGTGCTTTCTTATTTTGTTGTAATTCAAAAATGAATAACTGTAAATTCTTGAAATTTACTACAAATATTAATTTTATTATTTTTTATATTTGTTAAATTTTCCAAATATTTTGACTCTTTACAAGTTGTTTACTGGTATTTTCAGGTGTCGATTTTTGAATTTTTCTATTTTTTTATTCCATAAATGTCAATAAAATTGGATTCATTGGGTCAAAATGCTTGAAAATTTAGTTCTAGGCTCATCAGTTCTCACACATTGTTAAAATATCATTTTAAAAATATTTATTAAGATTTTTTTTTATAAGTATTTTTGAATTTTGACAAAATGTATCATATTATTAAAAATTTACAAATTATTTTGCAGTCAAATATTTATAAATTAATGTTCAATTTTTATATGTAAGGATTAAAGATTTAAAATAAGGATCCACGTAATTAGCCCACATTGTAACCAAAAAATTATGGCTATACTCTAGGTAAATATTTATTTTGAAACACAAAAAATTCAAAATTATTACATTCTTAAATTTGTTTCACAATTGTTTATATATATGTATAGTAAACACTGAGGTCCTGGATTCATACATTTTTAAGGTCCATCAGGCGGTGCACCGCCTGCACCTGAGGTAGTGGCGGCACTGGTTATTTCTTATTTATAAATATTCAATCATTATATATTTACTAACCAACTCATCAAACAATGTTACAGACATCCTGAAGTATTAAAAAAATTCTTCAGGATGAGCCCTTAGTGTCATGAAGTTCACTTGAAACTGACTTTCTTTAATCCTTTTCATGTTCATCGGATGTACCCAATATCTCCTTTTGGATCTTTCCTTTTTTGCAACTTCATTACGTTTTTGTAATACATATGCTACAGCTATGGCTTCAACGTCGCTTAATAAATCCATTATAGGTAAAATACTAAAATGTATGTTAACTCTTAACTTGAAAACTAAAATCAAATACCTACAAAGGTCTTACCTCTACCACGTGTTTGACGCAACTGATAATTTGTTTCAACTCACGCCAATATTCATTTTATTTTATGTACAATAATTTGACTATTGATAATTATGGCACCAAGAAAAATCGAGTGTAGTGTGTAAACAAAATAGCGGATGCGGTTTTAAACCACCGCGGATAAAAACCGCGCCCACGCGCAGACAAATCGCTCAGTGTGTAACCAGCAGTGTTTCACTTTTAGTTCTTACAATAATTCTCATCATATTAAACTTTCAAAAATGTATATATTTAAATAAAAGTGAGACGTCTTCCATCTAAAACATAAGTTTTTTTATTTTGATACAATTTTGTTGAGTCCTGGTTAATATTTAAAGTAGGTATACAAAATATTTTCCTTTCTACTTTTACAGACTGGGGACTTATAAACAGTGTGGTTAAAAAATGTTTATTAAATATCATAAATTATTTTTTAAATGGGTAAATTTTTTTTTAGTACAAATTTTGAACAAACTCAAGAAGTGATATTTTTTTTTGTTTTCAAATAAAGTTATGGTTTTTTCATAAATTCTTCTTTTCTACATTCTTTCTTCTTCAGTTTGCGCAAATTGAGCTAACTGAATTTGTATCCATTAATACAATATAATTGATTATTTTTTTCACTAAATTTAAACACAATAAATTGTCAGGTGGTATTTACATATAAGGCATCGACAATCAACCAGATAATAAACCAGTTTACCCCCGAACATTATTCTTATTTCTCAGTCGGTGAAGAACCCGTAGGAAGACGCAACTCGGCATGTTGTGCAAAAACCACTGACGCAATCCGGTATTGCGAAATCCTAAAATCGAGTAGGTATTTATTTCTATTAAAAATTCAACTTATGGTTATACATAAAAAATGATGATTTTCCATGTTTCCTTCAGTCAACGAATCAATAATGCATTTAAGCATTGCATTAACTAGCATAGCATTAAACAGTGTACTGTTTATTTTATTATATTTTTTTTTTAATAAACTTTAAATAATTCTCAAATTAAGAATGTTGCATATTTAAGCGTGAAATGCTATTTTGATATCTAGCTAAGAACGATGTATGTTCAAGACTGAAAAAATTGTATATTTTTGTTTTCCTTCGGATGCAAAGTTGAATCAAGTGAGAGATTTCGCTTTGGACTCGCTTTGTTTAACCTGTAATACAAAAATACCCGAACACACTATATACTACTACTATAGAAAATAAAAAAAACTGTCTTTAGCTCTTGTTTACACTAATTAAAATTTTGGGTGTAAGTGTATGGTATGCACTATTTTGTATTTGTTCATTGTTGTAAATAACGTACGATTATATACTATTATAATACCCACTAAGTTTACCTGTTGTTTTTAATAATTTTTAAATAACATCAAATGTTTTGTTTTTATGTTCTATTGCGGCGATGATAATATATGACTATCATAATATCTAGTTAAAGCGTGTGATGTAATCAGAGTGAGATTAATCAATATTCAATTGTGAATAATAATTTTTTTAAATATGACTAAGTTAGAATATATGCCCCGAATGATTGTTGGTGTTGGAACAAAGATTAGATTGAAAAAGTGTTTATATTATCTTTGAGTATTAACCCTACTAACGACATGTAAACACACTTAAGCAAATACTATTTGTTAAGTAAAAATTAAATGAAATTTAATTCCTATATAGCAGCTATTATTTATTTGAACTTTTTCTAAAACTGTGAAGGTATAGTTTATTATAATGCTATAATAGTTATTATATAATGTATTAATAATACACTTTCGTTCTTCCCCAAAAACCAATTTTAAGGAAAAAAGTTTAGGTACTAGGATAAAGAATCGTAGATATAGTAATTGTTATTTATATGATTCTTCTGAACTATTTTAGCATCTTCTAATAAATTACAGTGACCCCTACTACAATATTTGTTTGATATTATTGCAGTGTTGTGTAAAAAATGTTTGTAAAAGTTTAGGTAGTAGTATGTATCTTTTCTTAATATATTGTATTTATAAAACTAAAGTTAAGCTTAATCTAAAAACTACTTTTACTTAAAATAATTTAAGTACCAGCTAATATATGAAACTTTTTTTGTTATTGTTCCATATTAATTATTAATGAACAATGTTGTCGATAAATACATTTCGAAAACATTGTTTGTTCCAAATTAGTATCAGTCATATGCGTAGTGGAATATTATTTAAAATAAAATAAGATTTTGGTGGTAATAATTTATTTTTACAAGACTCCGAATATTTTAATTGAAAGTCAAGGGAACACAGCCATATAAGAACTTTGAAACTTTGTCTTGATTGGATGTGGGTAGATTAGTTTATTATTAGGTTACAAATGTTTCTTTGGTAGTTAAAAATTATTGCTAATGCTAGTACATAATTTCATATGGATTATAATGTATATATTATGGTAAGTGAAACTCAAGGTTAGTTGGTCTTTTTTACACTTCTGCTTTAGAGGCGGTAACACCAGATTATAATATATAATAAAATACTCATTGTACGTTCTGATGATGTTAGGTACTGTATATAAGTAGTAAAAAAAACACACACATTTAATGCACGAAGAATTTGCAGAATAAAATAATATCGAGCAATGAGCACAAAATATATAATAATCAAATTAAAAAACTTGAGTTCTGAAGGAAGTAATTCAAACACGCTGAGTCTCCAAGATCCGCCAAATTCATTGCATTGCTGTACGTCGTACTATCCCAAGGGCACCCATTTTCATGAGCATACCTGAGACACTCAAGGTTGCCGCTCTCTGCTGCGTCAGCGCAAGTTACTTGATTCCAAGGGCATCCGTGCTCGTGCGCATACCGCAGACAATCGATATGTCCACTCTTCGCAGCGTCGGAGCAGGTGGACGAGTCCCACGGGCACCCTTGCTCGTGTGCGTAGGTTAGGCAATCCAAGTGTCCACCGGCCGCGGCTGATCGAGGCGTATCCGCGTCCCAGGGACATCCGTTTCTGTGCAGGAACACAAGGCAGTCCAGCATGCCGTTGACTGCGGCCTCGGAGCAAACCGTTTCATCCCAGGGACATCCGTTTTCTCGCGCGTATTCGAGTACCTTGAGGTGGCCGTTAGCCGCAGCCATGCTGAACGTTTGCTCGTCCCACAAACACCCATTACCATGCGCATAAACAAGGCAGTCCATGTGGCCCTCCTGTGCCGCTGCGGCGCACGTTGTTTCGGTCCACTCACAGCCATTTTCCCGCGCGTATATTAGGCAATTTATGTGTCCCCCAGCTGCGGCCGACGCCGGAGTATTGTCATCCCATGGACAGTTGTGACTGTGAAGGTAAACAAGGCACTCTAGTCTACCGTATATCGCTGCCTCTGAGCACGTTGTCTCATCCCAAGGACATTCGTTTTCTCGCAAGTACTCGAGTATCCTGATGTGGCCACTGGCCGCGGCATAGCTGCTTGTCCGCTCGTCCCACGGGCATTCATTTATGTGAGCGTATGCCAGGCAATCAATGTGCCCACGTCTCGCAGCCATTGAGCATGTAGACGAGTCCCACTCACATCCGTTGTCCCACGCATACGCTAGGCATTCAAGATGTCCACCAGCCGCAGCCGATTGAGTCGTACGATAGTCCCAAGGACAACCATTCCTGTCCAAGAACACAAGGCAGTCCAGCCTGCCATTCAACGCTGCCTCGGAGCACGCTGTTCTATCCCATGGGCAGCCATTCTGTCGCGCATACAACAGTATCCAGATTTCACCGCTTCCCGCCGCCATGCTGCACGTCCGTTCGTCCCACGGACATCCATTATTGCGAGCGTATACCAGACAGTCAATTCGGCCACCCTTTGCTGCCTCGGCACACACTGATTCGTCCCATGGGCAGTTGTTCTCTCGGGCGTACACGAGTACCCCAAGCTGGCCACTTCCCGCCGCCACGCTGCACGTCTGTTCATCCCATGGACATCCATTATTGTGTGCGTATGCCAAGCAGTCAATATGGCCACCCTTCGCTGCCATGGCACATGTATCTTCATTCCAAGGACATCCTTGTTCGTGTGCGTATATTAGGCACTCCAACTGGCCCATCTCTGCAGCCGCTGAACAAGTTGATTCGGTCCACTCGCACCCGTTGTTCCGTGCGTATATCAAGCAGTCTAAGTGGCCACCTTCCGCGGCCGAACGGGGAGTATCGTCGTCCCAGGGGCACTCAGTACTGTGCAGGTACGCAAGGCAACCCAGTCGGCCGTACTGAGCAGCCTTAGAGCACGCTGTTTTGTCTCGTGGACAACCATTTTCATACATGTATTCGAGTACCCCGACGTGGCCACAGCCTGCCGCCAAGCTACATGTCTGTTCATCCCATGGACATTCGTTAATGTGTGAGTATGCAAGACATTTGATTTGACCACCTTTTGCTGCTTCATTGCATGTAGTCCCGTCCCATGGACATCCGTTCTCTCGCGCGTACTCAAGTACTTCGAGGTGACCGTTGCCCGCTGCCATGCTGCATGTCTGCTCGTCCCATAAACACCCATTACTGTGTGCGTATACTATGCACTCCAAGTGTCCCGAGTGGGCCGCGTTCATACACGTTGTTGCGTCCCAGGAGCAGTCCATCTCGTGCGCGTAAACTAGACACTCCAGGTGTCCCCCTTGAGCCGCATTGTTGCAGGTCGTCACATCCCAAGGGCAGCCCATCTCGTGGGCGACCCTCAGACAATGTATGTGCCCATAATGCGAGGCCATGGCACATATGTTATTGAACCTGTCCATACGATCATTATCGGCCCTCACCACTTTGGCAAACACGGAAATCCTGTCACCCCGAGGGTCAAAATTACCGCTTTCCGTGTTTAGATCAACGATTTCGAACAGTGACATGCAACATTCACGCAATTCCAAGTGCGGCACTTCAAACCTGTGGTACGTTTTTCGCTGTACATCGTTACTTGCATGATACGCCGTTATCGCCAGACTGAACACGGCGTACGTTCTTTCTTCGTTATCCATGATCGTGGTTGTTTGTCACAAAAAATTCAAGATCAGAAAACGGCTTGGACGTCCTGTAAACGAATAAAAAGTACATAAAACATATTATAATAGGACAACCCCTTTTAATAAAAATATGATAGAACATGCGTTGAAGATATTAAAAATGATGGTTTTAATCATTGTATAGAAACATTCTATAAAACGATTCAAATTATTCTATTACAAGGTATATTGCTATATTAGAGTTTTAAAAAGTAAGGCAATATTATTACTACTAAAGATTATTATCCTTATAATTTACAATGGGTTAAACTAGTAGAAAACTCAATTTAGTCGTGTTAATATTTACAATAATTTGTTTTTAATTAATTGGTAAATGTTGTTGCAAATAAATTACTGGCACCATATTATGTAATACACATCAAGCTGCTCAACTATTAACTACGTATAGTTGATTTAATAGTGATTCTTAAACCATCTACGGGTTGTTTGGTAACAAACACATAACCTGTGATAAAGTTATCTTTAAATTCTGTGGTTGAGAGCCAAAACATGATAGGTACAAAAATTCGATTTTGAGATTATGTATTTTAAATGTTGCTTATGTTCTATATTTTATTTTCCATATGATATCTGTAGCTCTAATATCAAAGAAGTTATAACAACAATTATAAATGATTATCTTTCATAAGATGATAAATTATTTTGTGGCATTATATGGTATTTCACTTATCATAGTTGATGTTTTTTTTTATTTGGCCAAAACCTGATAAGTACTTATTTTCGACGGTTATCATATTTTGTCCATTTCTATTTATAACACTTATCATTATTTGACACTAGCTATTTTTATTATTGGTATCATGATTTTCACAATAATAATATTTACCCTCTACCTTTTGCTTTGTTTTTGCTCATTTAAATTAGGATTAACCGTTATCATGTATTCATGTGTGTAAACATGAAAATTAATATTCTTACGTATAACAATACAATTATAATATTTATTCATTATTATCAGACATCAGTATTCAGTTGTTAATGTTGTTATAATAATAATAATACATTATTATATTTTAACGTAATTACTTGTCAAGTATCAAATATTATTTGTAAGTTTGTGAAAAGACTTGTTTGGTGTTTACTGTTCATGGTTATAGCAAAAGTATTATTTTAAATAAAATGTCGAGAAGTAAGAAGTTACTGACTTTAGCTTTAGCTAAAGATTCACAAAGTTTTCATGCAAATGAAGGTAGGTGTATTATTATAAAATTTAAAACCATGTTTTTAATAATAATTATTCATTTGTTTTATGTGCCATATTATATAGTTCTTATTAATTGAATTTAACATCTTGAAATTAAATACTATTAATTTATTATTCTTGTTATAGAATTATTGAAATTGCAGAATAATACTATTCACCAGAAAATATCAAATAACAGTAATAATAGTGAGTGTTAGTATAATTATATCTGTTTTATTTTATATAAACTAATGAAATAATATATTATCCTTTAAGTTCAAATTTATCATTATTTGTATAGGTAGTGCCTTTGGCCTTTCTAAATTCATAAGACTAATATAAAGTATAACAAATTAACAATATTATACATGCAGAATAATAATATTATTAGTCAATATAATTGTTGAATTTAGGGATAAAGATTTAATATATTTTTATTGTACTTAAGTTACTCCTTTTTGTTTTTTCACACAGATTTCAGAATTGTAAATACTGATGTACTTAGTAGTAAAGATTTGCCATTGCAATTTCCTTACCAAGACACCAAAAATGAATATGATATTATAAGTATGTTAATCATAATGTTATGTCTCAATATTTTAATTTACTATAACCTCTTTAATACATTAAGGTATTATAGAAAAATTTGATTCCTAGGTGCCTATTATATTTTTAATTTTTTTTAGAAAAATCCTATGGCTTACGTCCTATACCAAACACATCAGCACATGTAATACAAGACCCAGGAGATGAAGTCTTAAGTAGTATGTTATTAAATATTACCTTTCTATTATTAGTAAAAATAATACTAAGCACCACATTAATTATTTTATATGGATAGAAAATTCATCATCATCAATATTTGATGACTCAGATGCTGACCAAACCTATAATCCATTCTACATAAAACAGAAAACTATGGAACTGTGTAGCAATAATAGTCCAGACTGTATAGAGGCATCCATCGATTTGTTTGGTAATTAACATATTCTATATAGTATAATATACATTTCCTACACAAGTACAATGTACATACAATCTACTTAAGTAATATTATAAACAAAGAAATTATATTTCTAATTTAGATTCTTTATCTAAAAGTAATGAGAAAATAACTGAGTCATCTCAAAATCTTGATTCTACTAAAAATATTCAAGCTGAAGTAAAATATATAAGTGCAAGTAGAAAACTGTCATATTTTACGAATGAAGAGAAGTTTTGATGAGGTATCATGTAATTACCCTTTAGGTAATGTACAATTTCAACATGGTTCGAGAATATAAATAATACAATTTATTAACTAATTAAATATTTAATGTCAACAGATACAATTGATTTGACTAACCAACCATCTACATCATATCAAGTAGCAGGTGTGATTGAAAACATTCCCAACAGTAACAGCTTATTATTACAAAGAAATGAGTCAACTACAAACAACCAAAATATTATGCATGATGATGGTGATGAAATTGATCATGTTGTATGCAGTAAGAATAAACGATACAAAAAAGGTAAACGTAATTTTATGAGTAATTGTAAATATCTTGGTCAAGAATATATGAAGACAGAAATGTAAAACAGAAGCCAAAAAAAATATTTAGTGCAATCATATTGTGTTGTAAAAAGAATTGTTTTAATTTTTGCCCTGAAGATATTCAAAAATTAATATTTGAAGAGTTCTACATGTTAGGAAACTTAGGAGCACAAGATCAAACATTAATGGATGGCATTTAAATAGAAGAAAAGAAGAGGGATTTTCATCAGAAAATCAACTCCTAGAACTACCCATAATAGGCTTATAACTGTCATGTATAATTTACAAGGAAATGGTAAAATGTCGAATGTGTGCAAAAAAATGTTCCAAAACGTTTATGGTATAGGGCGTGGAAGACTATATGTGATCATTAATAAAAAAAAAAAATCTAAAACAGGAATTTCACCTAAATCCGGGGAAGGTAAATCACAAAATTTTCAACAGGAAGAAAGAGTAAAAATTTTGAACCATATTCAAAGTTTTCCTTCTTTTGAAAGCCATGATTCAAGAAAAAATACTAGTCGTTTATATTTATCGCAAAATTTAAACATTCAAAAAATGTTTGATCTGTACAAAGAACAATGTTCTAAAAATGGTGAAAGTTATCCATCAAATTGGCTGTATAGAAGTATTTTTGCAGAGACAGGACTTAAGTTTAAACTACCATCTGTTGATACTTGTAAAACTTGTGATGAATACAATATTAAATCAAAACATGCTAGTGGTGAAGAAATACAACTATTAAATACCATGAATCAAAATCACAAAGATATGGTAGATGCAGCATATAATGCAAAACAAGAAGATAAAAAACTATTAAGTACAATTCCTACTCTTAAAGTTATCGTTTTTGATTTGCAGCAATGTCTGCCCACTCCAGATTTGAAAACAAATTTAGTTTTCTACAAACGTCAACTTTGGACTTATAATGAAACTATACGAGATATTGGACTTAAAGAAACATATTGTTATGTGTGGCACGAAGCGTTGGCTGGACGTGAATCATATCAAATTGCTTCAATTTTATATAAATATGTTTTAGAAAAAATACCTAATTCGACTACTCATTTGGTAACATATTCTGATACTTGTGCTGGACAAAATCGTAACATAAATGTAGCAATTATGTTTATGTTGGCTATTCAAAATCATCCCTTTTTGGAGATAATAGATCAAAAATTCCTTGTCCCAGGTCATACACACCTAGAATGTGATACTGACCATGCAAGAATAGGAAAAGCTAAAAAACTTTCCGATTCTGAAATATCCATACCCATAGACTGGTACAATTTTGTAAGACATGTCAGAGGTAAAATACCTCTTAAAGTGGTTTAAATGGAAATAGACAATTTCAAAACATTTTCAGCTCTGTTATCAAGTACTTTTATTAAAAGAAACTTAGATGTTAATAAAGAAAAAGTTAATTGGCTGAAAATTACACGGTTAAGATATGATAAGAATTTGGGCACTATTCAATTCAAAACTACACTAGACCCTGATGCCCCATTCCACATATTAGATTTAAAAAAAACAACTGGTAAAACAAGAGCTGGAAGAGAGTCTATAAGTGCATTTCAACTGGTAATTCCACAGACTTACAATAAACCAAATCCGATTGATTCAGAGAAAAAGAAAGATCTTAGTCTCCTACCATTGATAGATCCATTGTATCATCCATTTTACCATGGACTCAAAACTAAGTCGAAACAAACAGTTGCTAACTTAAATGCAAGTTCATCAGATGATGAATAGATTTTAATTATTTACCTTTTTTATGAGTAGGTAACATTTTTAATTGTAAAATTAAATAACTATATGTTAAATTTTACAAGTTTTAGTTTTATTAATTTTTTTATTTACATAATATAATAATAATAATAATATGTTAAATAATATGTTATTTTCTAAGTCTAAAGATACAAATTATTTATTTTGAGTTATTAACTTTTTTTTATGAATAGCTTACATTTTTAATAATATTGTCAATTAATTTTTTTATAACTACAAATGTGGAGTACCTACTATATTAATTTATAACAAGTCTGAGTTTTATTTTTTTTTTACATATTATGTTATATTTTAAGTTTGAACTCTAATACATTGAGGTATTAAAGCGATGATATTATTATCATAAGATTTTTTTTTTCAAATTTATAAAAAATCAAATTTGTGTCAAAATATGTTATGTTATTAATTTATGTAAAAGAAAAAATGACTGAATATGATAACTGCATTTTAAATTCCTAATGTCACTAAAAATTATAGAGAAAATTATTTTTTTTCTATTA